AACTAGCTCAATGGATTAAAGTGCCTGCAAGCAGGCACAAAGTCCAGGGGTTCAATCCCTGGGCCTGCTGTGCCAGCCCCGCCCCAGGGGCAAGCTGAGATGACAATTGAGACTAGGAATGGTGGCACACACCTGTAATCCCAGCTCTTATAAGGCTGTAAACAGGTGGATCACTATGAGTCCAATCTAGTAGTGAGATCCTGAACTCCCTGCAGACATGTTCCTAGAATCAAAAAAAAAAAAAAAAAAAAAAAAATTCTAACTCAAAACTGCCAGCACCTGGTTGCATTGTTTTAATTCTAATTGTTTCACTAAGAGATTACACATCAAACATACGTATGTAACACACACACTCTTCCAATTTACATGGATATAAAAATGAAACATGACTACACTAGGTGTAACTTCTCTTCAAGGGCAGACACACTGCTCCTCTATTGGAACACAAGAAAATTTTATTTCCTGCCTTCCAAATCGTAACTTACTTTTATTGAATGGACTATAAATGAAAGTGACACAGGTCATTTACTGGCGAAAGCATTTAATTGCCAAAGTTCAATTATCAATCTTCTTTTCCTCTTGCCATGGTGACCTCCCATGTGACAGCACTGACAGTGTGAAGTCACTGAATAGCAGCCATTTGGCAACCCAGGTTAGATGTGACAATAGAGCGAAAATTCTTAAACAACTGATATTTTATGTCTGTTACTTCAGCTTAACTTGACTTAACCTGATTTCACAATTACTAGTACCTCACCAAGGTATCTAAAATTCTCTGTGTACTTGGCCCTGCTGATCACACTCCTTGGCCTTCCAATCTGTCTGAATCTTGTTTTATTCCTTTAACAGTCATCTGCCTGAAACTTGCTCCTTTTGCACATTCATATAATTTACACACGTTAATCCATCTGACTACAGTTAATATGCTTTCATCAGTCCAATGACTACAGCATGTATTTATCCAGTCCTCTGTTAAGGAGCACTTGGGTTATTTCTTTTTTGGTACCAGGACTCAAACTCAGGACCTTGTGCTAGCCAGGCAGGTGCTTGTGCCACTGAGCTATATCCCTTGTCCGGGTTGTTTCTTTTTAATATTATAAACAGCCTGTTAAGAACACTTTTAACTATATTCCCCAATGTATGTTCAAGTGTCTCTAGAGTGTGTTACCTTCATTTTTGCTTGCAACCAGTCACATCTTTCTAAATTATTTAATTTTATTTTTAAGGTTGGAGAACAGCTATGATGGTTCTAAAAATTAAAGATCTGATTCTTAGACTTCTACAAATGTTAAAAAGGCAAAAGATTTAGAGGCATAGCTGCAGTCTTTATGCCAGTTACTATGTAAGATGCTTTCTTGAGCTTACAGTAGTCATGGACTAGTGAGCTGGTATTCATGCTCTATCATTTCACTATGAAAACATGGACCTTCAAGTATTTAAAATATTACTTTTACATAATATAATGTCCAGCCAGAAGCAGTGACACTGCAAGGAGGGCTGGAAGTTCAAGGTCAGTCTATGCTACATAGCAAAATCCTTTCATAAAATGCAACAAATGTATTATTTAATTTAGACTATTATTTAAATCTTTGTCCTGGCAAACTCATCTCTGCCTATATACAATCTCTGCAAAAAATTACCATGCTCCATCCAATCTTCAGATGAATGGGGTTACTCTTAACTATGGTAGTAATTCCTGTACAGCATTTACTCTTACTTTATCTCATGAGACTATAAACTCTGATGGAAAACATGATGCCTTGTTCATCTTTATAGCCCTAATGCAGAAACCAATACCTAGAACTTGAAAGATGTGAAACATGGTATCCTGTATTGTGTACATCTGGATTAAGTGAATGGATGTCAAAATCAGGGAATTTGAGTGGATCAAGATGGATAGTAAACTAACAAGATAGTAGTATAATCTTTATGATATAATTTTAAAGATCTCTGACCAGTCAAAATTTCCATAATCTAATCTACACTAACCCTGTTATTATTTTCCTTTTGCAATTCTCAGCCCCAAATTATTCCAAATTATGCTAAAAATGTACAGGCTACTCAAAGACAACCAATTTCCCAAAAACATAAAGAGCATGATAGGACTTAACAATTTCTTCCAAACTAAATAAGTATTTAAATTACTGAACCAAGAGTGGCTGTAAACTTTCCAGTGTTGTTCACAACCAGGTGCACTTCACAAATCTCAATGAAATTTCAATGACAAAGCACAGTGCCTATCACATTTTCTGCCAACTATCTAACTTCATCAAAATATTTAAACACACACACACACACACGCTCATTCAATGATTACTCCACAAATCAGGAGGTAAAGAACAAGACTTTAGCTGGCCCCAGGGTCAGGGTCAGGGCTGTACACGCACGCACGCACAATTTTAATGAAGAAAGGCCTGACATCTGACCTCTCAGATTCTTTGGGTTTGCTGACTCTAACGCGCAAGAAAGATCTGTGAAAATTCATCTGGCAACCGGAAGAGAATGCAACTTTCCAGGTGTACTGTCAACCAAACAACGTACGAGGCGTACATCCAGAGTCTCACGATTCCTTTTGGCAAATAACCACCTTTTATAAATTCTCCCATAGTTGGTGCCTCCCTCCTTTACTCTGACTCGATCCACCCTAATTCCGAATTCTCTTCCCCAGGGCGCGCCCTTCCCCTCTGGCTCGCCTCTGTCCACCTCTGCAGCCCCATCAACGCTGGCCGCCCACTTAAGACCGCCAGCCCCCAAGGGAACACAGCTTCTTCCACGCCCCCTTCTCCCAAGTTGGTACCCTGCTCCTTCTCCTTGGACGTAATGATCAAAATTCCGCCTTCACAGCCCGTTACCTTTATTCTGCTTTAGCCGCCTCAGCTCCTCCTCAGAGAAGCCCGCCCAACCCTGCGCCATTCGCCCAGGTTACGCGTACCCCAATACAGCCCAAACCTTTCAGCCCCGACTGCCAACTCGGCGGCTCAGGCACATCCGGGTTCTTTCCCGGGAGCGGTAGAGCAGCCAATCAGCGATCACTCTCTGCGCCTCCTCCGGCGCCCAGGTCCCTTCGAGGGTGCCTCGAGCAGTGCCGCACTGCCAGAAAAACGGCCTGAGCAAACCTTGACTGCGCAGCTGTTCACTTCCCATCACTTGCCTCTGTCCTGTCTCCTGGCTTTTACGCTCGCTGTTTCTTCCCTTCAAAGGAGGGAAAAGGCAGTGCGAAAGCTGGCTGCGCTCGGTAGGCACTTCGGAAGAGGCAGAGTCGGCAGCGGAAGGGGGCGGGCGCGGCGGGCCCTGGGGTCCTCGACGTGGGGGCGGGGCGGGGGAGCCGGGAGCGGCCGCGCGGGAGCGCGCAGGAGGAGGGGCTGGGCGTCGAGCGGCGGGAGGGGCGTGGTGCGGGCCGACTGGAGGCAGTACGGCGTTGAGGCTAGGCACTGCGGAGGCTTAGCGCCTTCCAGCCACTACACGTGGCAGAACTGGAGCTCGCAGACGTGTTTCTCTCAGAATATGTTCCCCTCAGTGGGTTCCTTTTTCAAATGATCGTTGCTAATGTGTAGTCTTTCTAAGGGACTCCTTGAATGTCTCCCCTGAAAATTTTTTTGTTCAGAGAACACAGTGTAAAACGTGGACGCTGAGGGATGAGCACAAATTTTAGGAGCCTGTTGAAGTCCCTCCTACTTGTGCCTTGAACATTTTACTTCTTTGGGCTTCCGTATCCGCTTTTCAAGGAGCATTAAAAAAAAAAAAAAATGTAGATGTTATCAGGTTAGATACATAGATCAGAGTTCTCTTTTCACTCTTTTCCTTATCTGCAGCAATAGCTTTTCTGGGTTTATATTTGAAAAATTTCAATGTGACTTTGAAGATTAGTGTGTTAATATTTTTAAACAAATTGAAATAAAGGAGAAGACTGGAAAACAGCACATCAACCTGAATAAAAGAATTGAACTGAGAACTTCAGATTGAGATAAGAGATTAGACAAAGAAAGCAAGAAAGGAGTGTTTCGAATTTCTCCTCTTATCTTCAAGCTCTGGAAATTCAAAGAGTTTGTGAAATTTGGGAACGCCATACATACTTTAAATTGTGGACTCATTTTTCAATATGTTTTAAAAATGAAATGGTACTGGGAAGGATTAGGATAATTTCATCCAGTTTTGAACATAACACTGAATACACACTGAGGTCAAAATTATTACAGTTTCAGAGTAGTAGATGGGAAATAATGGCAGTCTAGTAGATAATTCAGTTTCCCTTTTGTGGGCAACAGCCATCTAATTAATTTAGTAATAATAAGGTTGGACCAACTTGTGTGTCCCATGCTGAATTTTGCCCATATTTTAATTCATTCCCAGTAAATTTTGAGAATTTTTGTTACTACTGGTATTGAATCTATGAACTGCTCACTGAGATATGTCCTAACCCATTTTCTGTTTT